TATATATACACCATTATATATATATATATATATATATATATATATATATATATATATATATATATTTATTTATTTATTTATTTATTTATTTATTTAGCTAAATTTAATATCAAACACAACAATTTTCCTTTCTTCGTTTAATAACGTTTTTCTTTTAAAAAAAAGAAGAATATCGCAATTATTGTATGTTATGTCAATCAAGCAATTTGTTTAAACTTTAACAGAATCACAAAATTTCGTTCCTACAACAAAAAAAAAATAAATAAAAAAATAAATAAATAAATAAATAAAAGAGATTCTTTGTTTTCGAAATCTCGTATAACTAAAAAATCTAATAAACGAAAGGACACCATGTTTTGACTACTAACTGACATATGTCCTATACATATGCTGCTCTCATAATGAAATGATGCCAGTCATATAAAGTAAACAACTTTTGGGGTTTAGATCACATAGGGTGCGCAACTATATCACATACTGGCAAATATACCAGGAAAAACAAAACCTATCTCCGTATTTTGATCTACATTCTACACACGATAATCTCCTTATCTTTTCCGCGTATGGTTTTATTTCGGATCTTTTAAAAACAATTTTATCACTGTGCGTAGCATATACATGCACATTAGTATGAAAAAAAATGTGCGAAAAGCATATTTTTCATAATTTAAAAAAAAAATGTGTAGATAAATTTGATTTTCCTTTGATCTGTCTCTTTGCTGTCTCAACATAACGTACAATAACAACTTTCAGCAATTAAACGTATCAAATATAACTGCTATACACTGCTCTACTGCTGTTACTGCTGCTGCCGCCGCCTCCGCTGCTGCTACCACTACTGCCACCGCCACTACCACTACTACAACAACAATTCCTATAGTGCTTCTACTACTACTACTACTACTGCTTCTACTACTACTACTACTACTACTACTACTACTACTACTACTACTACTACTACTACTACTACTACTTCTTCTTCTACTACTACAATAGTACTTCTAGCACTTATGCTGCTTCTAATATTATTACTGCTAGTACTACTATACTATACATACAAATCATATCAAATATATATTACGACAATAATAACATTAATACATTACGGATTATTGCAATAGTCGGTGACTAGTAAGTTAAACTTAATTATTTTTTATAATTAAATTGGTGAATTTGTGATATGCGATTAGACATCCCTCTCCCAATCCACTTCGTTTATAGTGTTGTGTCATCTGAAACAATATATATCAAACCGCAAAACCACCCTTTCGTCTTAGCACTACACTTAACCAACCCCTCGTCTTAGCACTACACTTGACCACACCCCTCGTCTTAGCACTACAATTGACCACACCCCTCGTCTTAGCACTACACTTGACCACACCCCCTCGTCTTAGCACTACACATGACCACACCCCTCGTCTTAGCACTACACTTGACCACACCCCTCGTCTTAGCACTACACTTGACCACACCCCTCGTCTTAGCACTACACTTGACCACACCCCTCGTCTTAGCACTACATTTGACCACACCCCTCGTCTTAGCACTACACTTGACCACACCCCCTCGTCTTAGCACTACACTTGACCACACCCCCTCGTCGTAGCACTACACTTGACCACACCCCCTCGTCTTAGCACTACACATGACCACACCCCTCGTCTTAGCACTACACTTGACCACACCCCTCGTCTTAGCACTACACTTGACCACACCCCTCGTCTTAGCACTACACTTGACCACACCCCTCGTCTTAGCACTACACTTGACCACCCAGTTTGTTCCACTGTTTCGACATCCCGACACAGACACAAACATGCATCGAACTGTTTAAAGAATCAGGCAGATATCATACCACACATTTTAGTAAGAAACCTGCCCAAACCCCGCTACCCTGGGCCGAGTTGCATGGCCGGAGTCCCCAGGGACTACTAGGCTATGTTTCACGGCCAAGGTCCTAAGAGATGGAATCTCGACCTCCGAGTATTGAGCTTTATAAGTATCTTTAGCAACACAACACAATCTTGACTCTGCTGATCGACGGCCTACCTGGTTGATATTTTATGGATGGAAGCGATTTTGTTCTAGGTTTCTAGGTTCCAAAATAGAAGCTCTAGGTTTTTGGACGTCGACCCACACAAAGGCAGTATGTTTAAATTGGGACCTCAAAGATTTGCCATTTCTTAATGCGGATGACATATTGCGCCTTTGTCGTCATATAAACGCCATTTTTAAAAAAATGCACTTGACGTATTAAAATAGTCATGTAATGAATTTTTTGTCACTTGGAAAAGTATTTTTATTTTTATTTTTTTTTTATAGGTATCCGCCACGATGATGACCTGTCGGTGACGTCATCCCAGGAGAACTTTGACCCCGACGAAGATGTCGACATGTGCGACGAAAACGGGAAACCCCTGGGCGACGACGACAGCGACGACGACAAGAGAAACGGCGACGACAGTGGCAACAACAGCAGTGACAGCAGCAAGCAGGGCAAGCCGAGGCGGGCCAGGACGGCGTTCACCTACGAGCAGCTGGTCGCGCTGGAGAACAAGTTCAAGACGACCAGATACCTGTCCGTGTGCGAGCGGCTGAACCTGGCCCTGAGCCTTAACCTGACGGAAACACAGGTGCGTGGTAACGTGAAGCTGGCCTCATCAGCATCATGTAATGCAATGATGTCGTGTGATCGTGCAATCTATGATTTGCAGGTTTTTCAATCTATCTAAGCCTGACACGATGTTTTAGAATGATATCAGTTTAAGGTGTGCGTCCCCTGCCAAAACTTATGACAGTGCTGAGACTCCCGCGTCTTGAATGCGTACTTGCGTTTGTCCACGGTGCACAGGTCCAGCTGCGACTTTACTATAGAAGTGAAAGGGGATCGTATTTTGGCAGTCTTGTACGCCTTCATAATTGAGCAATATTTTCAATCATACAGTTGGTAAACGTAAATGGGGAAAATTATTAGTTAAAAAGATGGAAGGACAATTCCTTTATATATACATACATACACACACACACATACACACACACACACATACACACACACACACACACATATATATATATATATATATATATTTGAAAGGCATCAGGTAACACTCACATGGATCTAGAAAGGTAATTTGTCAACAGAAGGGAAGGTCAGACCGACCTGTTGACGAATGCAACTTTCGTCGGAGAATCACTCATTCCTATAATAATCTGGAACATCGCACATCAGAGCCAGAAATGTCCACAATACATTATCCATGCTCACGGATCTGGCTCCGCCAAGCGCTGTCCAACCTGTGTCAGGTACAAAAAAGGAAAAAAAAAAAAGATGCAGCTATATGTCCTTAAACTATCGGTGAACACGTAATGCTGATGTTCTCGTTTGAAGAACACGGGTTCGATTCACAATTATGAACATTTTTCACTGGTCCATCTGATTTCATCATCCATTTACTTACACGATTACACTTCAGCAACGGTGATATTTCGTAACAATAGACAGCAAAAATGCGTTACTTGGTGCCGTCTTGTTGAATTTCTCTTGATAATGTTACGTCACTATCCCCCATCACAATCCCCATCACAATCCCTCAACACAATCCCACAACACAACCCCCCTGACAACCCCCCAAATCCCCCAACACAATCCCCCATCACAATCCCCATCACAATCCCCCAACACAATCCCACATCACAATCCCACATCACAACCCCCCTGACAACCCCCCAAATCCCCCAACACAATCCCCCATCACAATCCCCATCACAATCCCCCAACACAATCCCACATCACAATCCCACATCACAACCCCCCTGACAACCCCCCAAATCCCCCAACACAATCCCCCATCACAATCCCCATCACAATCCCCCAACACAATCCCACATCACAATCCCACATCACAACCCCCCTGACAACCCCCCAAATCCCCCAACACAATCCCCCATCACAATCCCCATCACAATCCCCCAACACAATCCCACATCACAATCCCACATCACAACCCCNGGGGGGGGGGGGGGGGTGGGGGGGGGGTGGGGGGGGGGGGGGTGGAGTTTCAGGACTGTTTTCAGTTACTTATGACGCATACTTTAATACATTAAAAAAAAGATCAATCGACGGTTTGGGCCGGAAGTAAAGTTTTAGTTGTTTCCCTTTATAAAATGTACCATTTTAAATAACACCCACTAATTAAACTTACCGGATGCCGTGTTGGTGGAATATGTGCAGGCAAAACTTTGACGAATGAGCTCGGTTCCTGGCCATGCAACTAAAATAAAAATGGATAGAAAAAAAAAGGATTTAAAAAAAATATATATACTCTTTATTTGTTCTGAATTTCATATCTATCTAACTGTGAAAAGATTTTGCAAGGCTTACTACGCATGTAAAAAAATAAAATAAAAAAAAATAATTGAAATGAATGTACATTTAATGGGGAAAGAATCTCCCGCATATTCAGAGAGATATTGTGTCCTCCAATGTGATCGATCATTTCTTGTAGAGTTGCGGTAACGGGATCGGAGAGTTAACCAAGAAATATATTCATTTAGGCTCAAAACCCTCGAGGTATAAATGACAGAGGGAAAACAGACTTGTAATCAACGTCTCGGCAGAAAGCCTTCGTAATTCCAGCAGCCTTGTAGCAGGACAGCGTTCATGATGGACGGGAGGGGGTGTACAATAATCAAAAATGGCTGGGCTCTCTACTCAGTGGACGGGCAACTAGCTACACGCGGCAGCGAGCGCGACCTGTCGGGGAAAACCCGAGCTATTTACAGGATAGCACAGCCTTGAAGTGTTACAAGCTGGTGCCGACAGCAGGACGAGGGGTTTCCCTCGTTGTCTTTACTTGAAATCAGTGGAGAATGGGGATATGATACTCTACGAATGGGGAAATGGTTTAAGCGGAAGTATTTGATACGATTCGTGTTTTTGTTGTTGTTTGTTTGTTGTTTTTTTTTAAACCAAAAACTTCATCTAAAATTATAGAAATAGGAACATTTATACATTTTAAATAAAACTGATTTGTTGTTTGATTTCTTTAAAGAATAAAAAAAAAAAAAAAAAAAAAAAAAAAATATCTTACAGTGTCATTTAAATATTGAAAAGAAGACTAACTTAAAAGCGTGTCCTATATGTGGCTGTCAAAATATTGTAACTAATGCAATAGCTCCCAATACAGTAAAATAGTGAATAACGCACAAACATGCCAGTTAAAGACGACTAATTCTTAAAATCTTTTCAGTCAAGTTGAATTTTAACCATGATTATATATATAAAAAAATGTGTTTATTGATTAGCTCTATTAAGTTGCAATTTCTTTTTTTTTTAAAAAAAAGCAAATTTATTATTGAGAATTAAAAATTTATTTTCAGGTAAAAATCTGGTTCCAGAATCGTCGAACAAAATGGAAGAAACAAAACCCTGGCCTAGATGTCAACAGTCCGACCATCCCGCCATCCTCTGGGGGTTTCGGGTCCTTCTCCAGCCCGTACTCCAGCATGCTCTACGGCCAGTCGCTGCACCCTTATCTGCCCTCGGCGGGCCTCATGAGCCCTCTGAGCATCCTCCGGGCCCACGGCTCCTACGCCTCGGGCCAGAACCCGGCTGTGTACTACCCCTATTTCAGCCAGACCACGTGATTCGCAGCAACCAATCGTCGGGACAATGAGATCCAAAGAAATCCTTGAGCAGACGTCATTAAAAACAAAGTTCTCAGCGACAGAAATTTGTGTACGCGAGAAATTTACGTCATAGGCGAAAATGGAATTTCCCACTACCGTATTAGTGCAAGTAAATCCAAACCGAGACTTCTGATGACGGCACAGTTATCAGATAATTATGAATCTTTTAATAAGATAAAACCACACACACCTTTACCAAACAATTCCAGTCAGTGATGAGACCAAGTCTCTCGTGCATATCAAAGAGTGAGTGCTTGTTTTTTTTTTGTTTTTTTTTTAAAATCATGTTCTGTTAATGGGACTGCAAGAGCTGGAGACAACAAGAAGAAAATGATGCCATCGACACCCAACGTGTCGCTATGCGGAAGGGGGGGGGGGTGGTGGCGCCCCGACAGAAAGGATACGTTTATTATTTGAAGTTGATTTAATACTTAATTTAATTTCATGTTCTATTTGCTTTTTTTAAAAAAAAAGTGTTATAATTCTCTCCAGGATTATTGTAATCTTGTTGACTGTACACTGGCATTGCCCGAGCAAGTGGGTGAAAGAGAGAGAGATAGAGAGAGAGAGTGTGAGAAAGAAAATCCCAGAAAGATATATTTATATATGTGTGTGTGTGTGTTTATATATAAATATATATATATAATATATATATATATATATATCTAATATATATATATATATATCTAATATATAAATATATATATATATATATATATGTATATATATA